GTCTCTGTAAAGGATCAGCAATAACTTGAGATTATACTGTAATTAGCCCCACTTAGTGTAGGAATTCCAGGTAGGCACCCATCACCCAGGTGGGCGACCAGGGCATCAGCCTCATCATCCCTTCCCCAAATGCCTTTGTTCTTTCCATGTGCCCTTGTTATGTGACCCATTTCCCTATTGGACCAATCTGAGCTAAGCAGTAATACTTGTAACCCTATAGGTTGGCTGTAGTTTGACCCACATTGTACCCACATTGTGACTTTGCTGTATTAATAATCCTGACAAAGGGGTATTGTGGCAGCCCACTTGGGACCTCTGCATCTCTCAGGAACTGGTCCTATACCCCAGTAGACCTTTCCTACACTTAATTTCCTTTGTTCTTTGGAATTCATTCTTCAATTTCAGGGGATACAAACTCAATGTATCTCACATCTAGCAGATTGAGTTATATTTTCCCTGGTATCACAATCAGAAATATTTTGGAAAAAAAAATCAAACAACTATTCACAATTTTAAAAATCCTACAAACCAAGCTTCCTGGGGAAGACATGGTCAAAATTTCTAGGACCTATGGGAATTAAAGACAAGCAGATGTGTAGGTGGCGGATTGGTGAGCAGGTCTGCCAGTGCTGGGCCCAGCAAGCAGGAGCCTGTGAGTCAGGGCGTGCTGTGGGTGGACAGGGTCTGAGTGGAACCGCAGGGCCTTCATGGGAAGCTGGGTCCTCCAGAGGTGACGCTGGGAGGAGATGCAGCTGTTAAGAAGTGCAGCTCAGTGTGTGGGGCTGGGCTTGGGGGTGCTGCCCTGGGAAGGAGCTGATGTACCTCTCCTGGGACCCAGTGAGCTTTTGCCAGCAGGAGTGGCCACCTCACGCTCCCTGGCTCCCCAGATTGTGCATCACAGCTCACTTTCCTGTCCACGTCTGTCATGACACTGTCTAGCATGTGACCCTGTCATGATGCTGGCACCAGAGCTGAGCAGATGATGGTGCCATGCTCCTGAACCTCAGAACTGGGAGCTAAACGAACCTCCTTCCCTACAAATCACCCCGCCCCAAGCATTTGGTTATAAGAATTGGAAATGAACTAACACAATGGGGATATGGACAGGCGGCCACCAATGTCATAAGGAGGGAAGTGGTGGAGCAAGGGGCATTGGACAGGTGGCCTGACTCCCAGATGCAAGAACGGCCCAGCCCTTCAAACCAGCTTCTATTATCTGGCCTTGCTGACCCTGATTCTCCCAGCATAAAATTGCAGCTATGGGATTTGCTATTTCTGTATAACTGAAGCCAGTGGTGGTGACCACACAGAGCCCTCTCTGTTGACACATGAGCCAGGTCACTCCTGCAGCCAAGTGTCAGGTAACTTTTTTTTTTTTTTAATGTATTTAGTACAGGGTCTACAGGGTCTCACTATGTACATTGGACTTGTAGTGATTCTCCTGTGTTCAGCCTCCCAAGAGCTGGTATTACAGGCAGGCGCCACCATGCCCAGTCTCAATCGCCACCTCAGCGCACCCTGGGGGCAGGAGCTGGCCAATGCTGTCTGCCTAAGCAGGCACTTTAGTCCACTGAGCTATCTGGCCAGCCCTGTAACAGTTGTTTTTTCCAAACTAAAACCTCAGTATTTAGTGTTGGCGCTTTGTGATAAGTGGGTTTTGGGTTCCAGTCTGGACACTCAGCCTCTAAAAGGTGACTTAGGCCATGGTGAAGAAGTTTTAAAGTGCTGTGTGTGCCATGGGTTGGTTCGATTTATTTTCTCAGGGTGACAAACAGGCGGTCAGCAAGGGGTGTCAACAGCAGTGGCTGCGATCTGACACGTGTGCCATGGATGGGCTGGAGGCGGTGGGCCTACCCTCGCCATCAAACAGACAGCATCCCCACAGCCCAGGGCAGAGAGGCCCAAGCAGCCCAACAGCCACACAGGAGAAACACTGAGCTTGTGCTCTGCACTTGCGGCCAGGGAGTCACCACAGCAAAGACAGTCTGGCAATGAGAGCAGACACAAATCGCTGCTAATGTCCTGACCAGCGAGCTGCTACTTGCAAAAGAGAATATTGACTGAGAAGTGAGGGTCTGTGGGCTGAAGGCCATGGAGCACAGAGAAGCAGCGGCACTTTGGACGAAGCGCCCCGGCCTCTGGTGCTGTGGAGGGTACTCGCCTCCACGAGCGCCCGACATCCGACCGAGCTCCTGCCAGCACACTGGGAGTGCCTTATGTATGTGTGTGTGTGTAAGGACACAACTATATCTACACACTGGAGGTATAAGAGCTTTCTGAGACCAAAGAAGGGCACACCCACCTTCCAGCTGAGTTGTGATCACAGATGAACAGCCTGGTCTGCCTAGCACCCACAGGAAGGGAACAATATTTCCTCTAAGGCAAACTAACTTGCAGTGCTTCTCTCCCCAAGCCAGTGGGCCTTACAGCAAGTGTAGAAAGCTGAGCTCAGGCCTCCTGACATTACTGTTGCTCCCCACGACTTCTTAGACACAGCCTGGTTTTCCCAGAAACCCCTTGAGGGTTACTTCTGCCCACCATGACCTGCTAGAGGGCTCTGAGGTGTTAGCCTGTTGGAAAGAATCATCTAGAAGACATGAGGGACCTGATTTGTGTCTGAGTTGTCCTTAAGGGCTCACAGCTTGGAAGCCTTGTCCTCAAAGTGGTGGCACTGAGGTGGAGGGACCACTGAGAGGTGAGGCTTGCTGGGAGTTAGTGAGGCCGATGAGGGACTCTGCTGGGATGGAAGGGCTGTAGCTCCTGTGGGACCCGAGGTAGTTCCTGCAATGGCCTGGCCCCTTCTGCTCTCTGATTTCCTGTACTGTTTCATGGTCTCTGTGAGATGAACTCCCACCACGGGGCCACTGGTCACACAGCCCTCAGCAAATGCTGAGCGCAAGCGAGCCCTAATCCCAGGCTTCTAGAACACATTTGTGAAATGTAGTTATGAATATGATTTCGAGTCTTGCCAGTACATATCTTCTTACAGCTGAATGTAACATATTAATTGCAGAGCAACAGGAATGGGTTATGTGTTAGTACTAAAAGCAGCAGCCCCCCAGTGACAACCCTCTTTCTGCCCTCTACAGTGGACCAAGCGACTGCAGAGACTGGGCAGAAGAGGCTCAGTCTCCTCTCTGCAACATGAGGAGGATAGCACCCTACTCCCTGCCCACACAGACAGCAGGGACCACTCTGTGTGAACCAACAGGAGTGTGGTTCTGTGCTGATATATGGGCCTCACGGTGTCCCTCACTACATGTGGGAGTCAGAGCAAGTCCCAAGCTGGTGGGGAAGGTCACCAAGAGGACAGGCGCAAAGATGGCAGCATAGAGCAGAAGGAGAAGCATGCCTGAGATTATGACAACAGTAAGTCACCAAGTAACATGCAGGACACTGCATCCAAGAAAAGAAAACATCCTTAAAATCCATGGGGGCAAGGCTAAGAGGGTCCTCTGCTCTGGGTTCCATGTGCTCCTTACTGTTTATTCTTCAGGATCCTTTCACCTTTGGTATTGCCAGGTGCACTTTAGAGAAGAGAGTGACAATGATAGCAGGTTGCACTGAGAAGGTAGGCCAAAAGAGACAGGGTTACCACAATACACTTCTAACGCCAAGCCAAAGTACAGCTGACTGAGGGGGAGATGCTTGTACCAGAGGTGTAACTCAGCAGGTGAGGAAGCTGACCATTACAACACGGACAGCACAGTCACCATACCCTGAGGGCCCGGGTTACTGGGTCTGCAGTGCTTTAAGTTACTTGGAAGTTGTACCAACCATTCCCGCCTCACCATTATGGTCTTCCAGCTGTCCTTAAATTTTGAGAGTTCCAGAATCTGTCTCGTGGATAGGTAAAGACAGGGAAAGCTTAAGAATCACTAATATAGCCTCATAGGAACTAATAAGAGGTCTATGGTCCTCTTACACAATTCCTTTCCACCTAGAGCAACAGAAATTTAATGCCAATGCTAATAAAAACTTTAAAAAGATACCACTATGATGATCTGCAAGCTTGGAAGTGGCACATATAGCGAACAGTGTCTAGTTGGGTGAGAAGATGGCGTGAGGCCTGGAGGGAGCTGGCCATGGCCACTGGGAACTGAATGCTCAGTGACACACTGAGAATTCCTGGAGGGTAACTCTCAGCAGGATCCTGGAGCAGGGGACAACACTTTGCTGACTTGTAGCACAGACTGGAGAGGATGGAGAGATGAAGGGAGGTGAGCATGCCTGGGACTGAGTGGATGTGGGTATCATATGAGGTATGGGATGCAGGAGCACTGCTTTCAGAAGCCAGTTAGTCTTAGTACAAGCACTACCATGGGATCTGGGCAAAGGGCCTGATCCAAACTTTCCATGCTGGGCACAAGGGCCATCAGCATGGTACAAACTTAGGACTATTATGGCCTCTCACTATCTGGGAACACAGAATGTACCCTTGCCCCAAAGGAATTAACGGGCCTCCTTGCAGGTTAATGCAGGCATCAAGCAGAGTCAAGCTGAATGACTTCCAAGATGGCCAGGAAAATCACACCGACCATATGGTGTGGAAGCTCACGCTCTCCTAGGCAGTAAAAGGGCTTATTTGATGCTAAGTTCTCTGCAGGAAGGTTCTGAAGTAGTCGGGTAAGAATATATCTTAGCATGAAGGTCCTAGATTCAATGTCCATTATCCCCAAACCCTCAACACACACACACACACACACACACACACACACACACACACACCATGACATCTAAGGTGAGATGGGATGAACAAGAATCATTTGGTTACACAGTTTGTAAATGGAAGAACACAGCATAGAATCAGCTTTCGTGATTTGTCACCTTCACAGCATGCTGTTCTTGATGGTTCCATAGCCATAATGAGGTTAGTGGGATATAACTGCTTACCTTTACTGAAAAGCAGACAGTGAGAAAGCCAGACTGGAGAGACAGTAGGCAGGAATACCACATTATGGCCAGGCGTTTCGCAAAGCAGCAGTGACCTGGATACTCACATGGGGAGGGGTCCACAAAGTAGGGGTCGATGTTGTGCAGCAGCTCCACTCTGGGGGACGGGCTTCCTTCACTAGAAAGGAATTTTTTTTAGGAAATGTTAATTTCCTCTTTCAAATGGGCAAGAGTTATTTTAATACTTCCTTTCCTTGTATTAGTTGAAAATAACAAACCTGATGGTGCCAGTTAACAATTTTACAATGAATTCAGAGATCTCCAAAATCCATGCTTGGTATATCTTCAAGTAGCCATGTGTGAACATTTTAGGTAAAAACGTCAATGTTGGGCAGATGGTGGCATAAGAGTAAATGCATGAAAGCACCCTGGGACCTGCAATAACACTGTGGCTATATTTAAACACGGCCACTTTCCCACCAGAGAAATGAGGACTCTAGTGGCTTTGTACCAGGGAACAAAGAAAGGGCACCCACCAAAACAGCAGCACTGCTACTACAGATGCAGCATGCATCTAAAGATGAATAAAATCAGAAACTTCAATGTGTCCCATATCCAAATGGATTCCAGATGTAATACAAATACCTATGAAATAATCTCCCGAACATTAAAGAAAAAAAGTCTATGCAGTTATAATCACAACCTACAACTGTGCTGAAAACAAACCTGGAGACCACTTGGTTCCCTCCCTTCCTGGTAAATCACTGACAGAATATTGGACTGCATGGCTCTCAAAGCAGTGTCCTTTAAAAAGTGGGCAAACAGGGATCAGAGATGTACAGGGAGCGCATGAAGTACAAAGATCATTTGACTTACATCACCAGGACAGTACTACAGACTCCTTGATAATCCAGTATGTTCAGCTAAGGTAGCAAAGCACTGTTTATACACAGAATTACATAGTTTGACAGCCAGAGAGGCTCTTTATATAACCAAGAAGACATGCTTTCCAGTCACCCCACATCCACATACCAAACTCAAAACTAGCTGCTCATAGCTAGTTTGGGACTCCCCTCCCCTCCCCTCCCCTCCCCTCCCCTCC